AATCTGAGCTTTGGTTTTAATTTACATTTAGATGAATTCATATTAATGATCAAATCTAAGACACATGGAAACAACTTGAATTAATCAATGTGACCACACTCCCACCTAGAGCTTTAAAAACAAACTGCAGCTGTTGACAGTAGAGTCTCGTTCTAATTGATCCATAAACTTAATGATGAATAAACAATAAACAGATTGTTTGTGGTCGTCAGTCAACTTATATATTAATATTCAGCAGAAACATGATTTACTTTCAGATTAAATCGATATAAAATCCACATTTTGTTTGAAATTCTTCTTTCAGCTCTTTGTCGTGAACCGAGAAGCATCAGGTTCTCTCTGTGTTTCAGTTCTTACCGATGTTCTTGGAGTAAACGGGCACCAGCACATTCACCAGCCGCTCCGCCGCCAGCAGGCCCACGCACAGCAGCACGAGTCCCTGCAGTGCCACAGTGCCTTTGGGCCAGACGTACGGCAGCAGCAGCCTCAGCTTCCTCCCGAAGCCTCGCCAGGTGGAGGGCAGGGCGGAGGGGGAGGGAGGGGAGCAGTGCTGGATCTGAGGATGGAGAGAAGCGAAGCCAGAAGAAGAATATTAATGTGCGATGCTCAGGAAATATCTGGCAACTTTACTTATTTTTATTATTTGTATTTCCTCAGTTTTTCCTGTTTTGTTTTTGTGAATCACACTTTTTACGGCACAGACTGAATTTTTTGTGTTTCACTGTTTGAAAATAGGAACCATGAGGATGGACGACACGACAGCTCCCTCAAGGTGAAGCCAAGTCATCATGATCGCCCCCTAGTGGCTGGCTGCAGCACAGGTCCTGCCTCCTCCATGTAAGTTGACAAGACATGCCCCAACTACAAAGTCAAAATCCACGTTTGTGCATTGGGAGGAAGTGGAGACGCAACGTCCACAGATTTGTTATTTTCCGTCTCTCACAAACATGAATCAGTGGCACTGAGGCGTTTTGTCCAAAATGAGTTTACAGCCAAATGAAGAATGTCTGGAATGTAACATTTGTCAGAAATCCAATGAATCAACAACTTACCTCCACATTCACAGTTTCTGCTTTTCCTCCTCGTCGGCTCGTCACTCTGAAGTTTTCCATCGGATTCAGCTCCAGGTTACTTTATGGGTCGTTCACTTCTGGTCAAACCACAAACTGATCACAGGATTACAAATGTTTCATTAACGGAGGCTGAGAGGTTAACCTGCTGCTGTGACGGCAGCCAGAGTACACACACACACACACACACACACACACGTGTTGTGATTTGAGCTTTGAGGTTAAAGTAGCTGTTGTCAGCATTTTGCTTTGTCGTGCTAGTGTGTGTGTGTGTGTGTACTTGTACTTCTATTCATTCAACCTGACAGAGTGAGGACTGTTCCGTTATTATTTATATCTATTGGGCAGAAAGGGTTTTGAATAACAGCTCTCTCACATTTGGAAGTTGTGTTAAATAAAGGACTCATTCACCTCCATTTATAGATAATCTACAAAGTTGTTCAGCTCAACAGCCGCTGAGCTAGAAGCTTAAATCCAGATTAACAATGTGCGCGTGAACATATTTAACTTTCCTTGATAATCCTACTGAACTCAGTGAATCCTCTGAAACAGGATCAGCTGTTTGTAGTTTGTGGTAAATCACATTGTTTATTTCAGGAACGCTGAATCAATTTCAATTATTGTATTTTAACATCCAGAAAAGGTCGAATAAATAAATCTCTCAATGATTCCTGGACTCGCTCCTTTGTCTGAATCGACCTCAAAGTTTGTTGAGTTCTTTCTTGACCCGCGTCCGATCCATCCAGACAAACTACAGCGCGGCTCCGGCTGCAATTGGACGATATGACCAACCGACCGACCAACGAATCAGCTGATCGACCGACCGACAGTGGGAACACGAGACAGTGAGTCGTTGATAGAAACAAGCAGGTTCTTTATTAGTAAAGAGTAACAAACCAGCAGGTCGAAGGGAACAAGCAGCTCATACAGCAGTTTGACATGAAGCCGACAGGAAAACGTTTCAACACGGTCAGGAGGGAACGGCACATTCAACAGGGCGGAGCCACCACGGTGCGACGCTGCTCACCAAGCCATAACAGATGCATTGTGGGAGTGGGACTGAGGCGACAATGTCGGAAGTTAAGCTCTTCAGAGACGAAGAACTGAAGGTCAGTCTGAAACATGCGGGGTCGTGATCCTGGATGGGAATAAAAACTAAGACTTGGGCGAAGGTTTGAATCCCGGGTGCATTTACATCTTTACATGAGTCAAATTTACACTAAATAATGTCGTCACTGATCCTGACGCTCAAAAGGTGATGATGCTTCACCCTCTGAATCTTTTCAGCCACAGTATCGTTGAAGCTGAATCACCTTCATTGCCCCCTGGAGGCTGCGCCTTTCCTCCTCCATGTTAGCAGATGGGACATGGACCAAACCAAACAGTCAAGTGCTATTTGTTCCAGTAAGTTTGGTTTTAATTAGTTAATTGATGCTATAAAGATGTGGTGAAACATCACGATTGGCAGCCCAGACTAAGTCGTGATTGGTCGAGTGCAGGACCAGGATACCATGGCTCCACCCCCCCGATCACAACTGCGCAGACTGTGGGTCAGAAAATGTACAAGAACTCTGCACCTGCACTGCGAGATACATCATCCCTCTTTACTCACAGTCAGTATTTGAGAAGTATTTCGTTGCACCTTCAGGTGACGTGATTCAGGACCTGATTTGCTGGAACATCCTCTGCAGTGACGTTTCTTGATCGGCTGCTGTGCAGGTTAGAAGAGTTGCAGCAGAATGTGAAGCTTGTTCAGGTTTCAGACAGATCTGTTTTTTTTACATAATGTACAATACTACTACTGCATTCTCAAGTTTTAATATTTCTTCCTTTTCTCCATTTACAAGCTTTAGCTCGGCACAAGTTTAAATCCAAAAGAGGAGACGAGAGAAAAGAACCAATTAAATAAGAGGAGTCACATAAATTAAAATGAAATACAGACCTCAGTCGAACTTAAACATTCTGGTGAACTAGACATGGGTTAGACCTTATACGTCATGAAGACCCTGAGTACTTCAGTGAAATACTAAAACACAGACTTTACTTCTTCAGTGTAAATGTAAACTGAGGTTACATGAAGGCTCAGCTCTGGTGTCGGGTGGGAAGGAAGCTGTGAAGTCTGAATTATTATTATTTTTTTCCTGTGGTGTTTCAACCTTCTGATTTCATGTTCAGACTTTGAAATGCTTTCACTCAAACCCTGCGCTCACACTCTGACGGCTCCTGCTTGAGCTCAAACTGTGCTTGCACTCAGATTTCCTGCGCTTCAGCATTTTATGTGTTCACGATGTTAACTTCTCATTTCTATGAGAGTCTTGTACAGGCGCAGTTTGAGCACAAGCACTGGCTGCCTGAGTGCAAGTGCATGGTTTTAAGTGAAAGCATTAAACAATCTGGATGTGAGATCAATACGTCTGATACGTGTACTTATATATTCACAACAACCTTCTTACCTAAAAACAAAGTTTAAGTCAAAGTTTAAGTATTTCTCTGGAGCCTTTTTTTTCACAGCCAGTTTCAGTTGAGTAAATGAAGCAGAAACAAGATGTCCGATTGTCTCCTGGGTTTGTACTGATCAAAATCAGCTGCACTGATAAACACAAACTACTGAAACCTGCAGATGTGAATGGATGTTGTTGTACGAGGCCATCGACGTTGTCACCATTCTGCCTGCACGATAAATAAATGCCTACTGTCTCAGTACGCTAAATGCTAACTGGGTAATTGATAAAATGATGTGAAAGCATTTGGTGATGGCAGAACACATTCTACAAGAAATTACAATCATCAGTAGAAACAGGACAGTGGAACACTCTTCTGTCCGAGAGCCGGTCAGCAACTTTACAAGCAAACGAGAACCAAACACGAGAGTCTGTGATTTGTCTCTATGGTTGTAGACAAATGTACAAACGACAGGGATCCGAGTTCATTTCTCATCTCCGCACCAATTGTTGATGGACTTCTAAACCATCCCCCGTGATTTGACATGCAGGTTTTCCCTGATTATTCTACTAAGTTCTTGTAAACAGTGAGACGAACAAATTGGGTCCTTTCGAGCAGATTCCAGCCTCCACGTTGCCCCATGTGGTCACAGATCCAACGATATGTACAGAATTCCTGGTAGTGATGCCGCTGGTACATTCGAGCCAGTTCATCTTATTTCATGACAGTTCAGAGCAGAAGAGTCGGTGATGATAAAACTGCAGCAGGTCACTGTTCACAATGTAAACTCTGCTCACTTCAGCAGCAGCTCAGTGGCTTCAGTTCAGTTCAGCTCGTTGTTTGACTTCATCTTCGTATCAGACTGGTCCAGGTGCACGATCGACCTTAGTCTCGACATAAATAAACATTCAATAAATACGTCTGATAAATAATAAGTATACGATCACAAGGTCCAAAGCGAATGCAGGCAAAAAAAGATTTGTTGTTGGTGGTTGAGGTTTCAGGACCTGTTCCCTGGAACCATCCAGGAATCCCTAATATGCTTCATGCCAGACGAACAAGATGAGGACAACATCCTCTTAAGTTCTGGTTTCTTGACTGAAGGATTTTTATTTTTTATTTGTGACCAAACTGAGACAATGAGAAATGTTGGTGTTGGAAAAGTCTTGTTTCATTTGACCTCCTTGACGAATCACCTCATGTTCAACAGCACAATTAGTGAAACATTCTTGCTGTTGGGTGAAATGTCAAATTCTGACAGAAACCACTGGTGGACCGTCTCTGGTCACATCAGACACCTCCGGGCTAATTCACGCTAAACGTTAAGATTTGTGTACGGAAACAGTCGGAGACTTCTGTTCGTACTCATCTCACATCTTCGGAGAGTTTGCGATACAGATGAAACAGGAAATCATGTGTGGCCCGTTCTTTAAGTGATTCGACTTTCAAACTCAAGGAAGAAAGTTAGACAACTTTTTGAGAGGAGACTAGGAAGCTGGTTTTCTTCCTAGTTGACTTAGTTTTTTCACTTAATCTTAAACTCCGGTTGAGTCGCTAAGGGCTAAAAATCACGTCAGTACTGTCGAGCATAAAGAGACATGGACCTCTGCTCCACTCACTACGTATCCAAAGATTAAAAAACAACATCCCAGGTTTTCTAACTACTCTAACACATATCGTGGATCTTAATCTAGCTCAAATAAGACAACAGCAAACACGTTATTAAGATAATTCATCACAGTGTTTAAACAGTTTTTCTAACTTTTTGATATCAGTCGCTGGTCACGCAAAAACATCAAGCCAGGATTTTGTTATTCTAGCATAACAGAGTGCCCTCTAGTGGTTTAAAACCTTTTGTTGCTGTGTAGCATGTTCAGATTTAGATTCTCTTGGCCAGTTGACTAGTGAGGCCGCCAACAGGCCAGTTCTGGAACTGCCCAAGTGTCCCTGAGCATTGTGTCTCAGGTTAGGGAAAGGAAAGGGTAAGAACCAACCTTCTTCAGATTTAAGTTAAGGTTTAGCTCCACATTACGGATGAACAGACTGTTAAAAAAATAAATTTTTTATCTGTATAAATAAACATTTCGAAGTAAATAGAATCCGACATGTTGCCATCATGCTTCTTCACAGTGGTGATTTTCTCTGAGCTACTTCGATGGGATCTTGTAGGGAAGTCGTCTCAGGTAACGTTTGATAATTGGTGAGTAAATTAAATTTAACAACTAAATATCGTGCGGCCATAAAATCGAACGACTTTCTTTGCTCAATAGATTTGGACCGACGTAGCCTTGTGGTGCTACTGACCAGAAAATTCAATCTCCCTCCAAAGGCACCGAATCCTTTTCCCACTCACAAATGATTAAATACTTAAGATGATTAAATGCTTCAAATACACTGTGATGTTATTCCTGGTGGTTTGTTCTTGGATGTTCGGACACTCAGAGCTCGTCTCACAGTGTGTTGCCCATGCTGCTGCTCACCAGCCCTTTAATATTAGTGATGGGCCTAACGTCATGCAGCTGTTTTCTTCGGTCAATGAACGTGGCCAGCCGCGTGGTGTCCAGAGGCGTCTTGGAGTGCTCCCCGCCATGTGCGCCCCCACGACCCACCCACGGGTGCTGCAGACAGGAAGTAGCGCTCGGCCTCTTCCTCTGATCCTGCTGCAGCACCGACGACACAAAATCCCTCGCCGCCTGACTCACATCGCGGAAGTAATCATCCGGGAAGCAGAAGTCCAGGCGGCAGATGTTGACGCAAGTTTCCTCTGGAGATTCATCCAGAAATGGGGAAACGCCGCTGAGCATCACGTAAGCCAACACGCCAACGCTCCACACGTCCGTCGCCACAGAGACCGGTGTCCCACGGATGAGCTCGGGCGCGGCAAACTCTGGGTTTCCAAGCAGGAGGTGGACGTACCGACGGTGGGCGGAGAGCTGGACAGCATCGCCGAGGTCAATGAGTTTAATGCACGGGGTGGGAGAGTGAAGGTCGACCATGATGTTCTCAGGCTAAAGAGGAGACAAACAGGATTCAGATGGAATAATACATGGATCACAGCTCTTTACAGTTCAGTTTGCCATTCACCCATTCACCCACATTCTCACATTCATCCATTAGCATCAATACAGGTTTCAGAATCTTGCCCAAGGACACTTCGGCATGCACATGGGAAGACGGGGGGGATCGAACTGCCGACCCTCTGGTTAGAGTTGTGGTTCTGACCTTGAGATCCAGGTGTGCTACTCTGCAGGTGTGAAGGTGCTGCAGCGCCTCGAGTGTCTCTCGGATGAAGAACGCCACCTTCTCCTCCATCAGCTCATCGTGGGCGACAAGGTAGTCAAGCAGGCGACCATCCTCCAGCCTGATTCGCACAAATAAAGTAACGTTTACATTCTCTCAGCTCCGTAGCTACGCAGGATAGCCCACTAGCTAACATGGCCGAGGCGCTAGATTGCCAGCTAGCCAGGTGGAAAATCAAAACAGAACCTATAGTTGACGTGTCAGACTTACAGCTCCTGGATCAGCATCAATGAGCTGGGAGACTCGTATGTGTCCAACAGCGCCACCAGCTGGTGATTCTGTGCGTGCTGCAGGATGTCCGCCTCATGAGCCACCTGCTCCTTCTTCTGCATCTTCTTACTCACAAACTTTACGGCAACCTGGAGAGAAACATTACAAACAGACTTCATGGTGAAATGGAAGACGAAAAAATATATAGTGGAAATGTAGAAAATAA